CAAACCTATTTCTAAGCAGTTGTTCAGGGGAGGCAAAATGTCTGAGGATTAACTTTGCAGCCCCCGCAAGTTCTGGAGCCACTCCAGATGGAAATACTTGGCCTGGTCTAAACAGACTAAGTCTCAGGGTATCTCTGATGTACACCTTGCTGGTAGTGAGCTGATGGTGGTCTTAGTCATGACTTGTCTTACCTCAGCTATGCACTATTTCTTCTAGGTGCTCCACCCCAAAATCTCCTGTACCATGGGCTACAAATGCAAGGAGGTTTGGAGCTGAAGTAGCATTTTTACACTCCCTGGAGATGACCCTTGACACAAGGACTGTTTCTGGATAGAAACTTGTTTATGCCTCTCTCAACACAGAAGAAAAGTAAGGGAAAAGAGGAACCAAGGTGACAGAATAGAATTTTAATCATGGCTATCCTAACTTATCCTTCTCTCACTTCTTCTGAATTGGAGTGAAGTAGGGATACACTGCCAACCATGTCAAGCCAGCAGAGTTGTACTGACTTATACCTGCTTGTGCATGTCACTTTGGATCTGAATCAAGATGTTGGACTTTTGGATAATGCTTTCAGAGCTGAAGACACCTGTAAATTAATATAGTGGCTTCAAACCATGAGCAGCATGAAAGTTGCGGCTGTAGTGAGGTACTCAAAGGGTGAAATTAATTGTGTGGATGATAATCTTTGTGTACAAAAGTTCCCCACGGGGAAATTCAAAGATACCCCAGCTAGACCTGCTATATAAACCTGCTAGCTCTTTAATTAGGTATTTTGCTTTTGGTTTGAGAATATTAAGGCTTCATCCAGACTGTAGTTGCAGCCACATCTTGGTGCCATAAAAGGAGTCTGTGCTCAGCAAGGTGCTGCTGCTCTCTTTGGCCTTAATAGACACTAACTGTGGGCCCAAGAACAGTTCATGGAGTTAGGTTTCCCCAGAGTGTACTTACTGGCTGGATGTCAATGCTCTAGTACAAATGAACACACTCTTTTCCACTTCATGCCTCTGTGAGGAGTGAAGAAATGGGAGGGGAGGTAGTGAAATGAGTATTATGCTACAGCAACTTACATGAGTTTGTCACAGATGAAATGCTGACCCCTGACTCTAGCTTGGCACAGCTATTTCCCAGCCTGTCTTGCAGAGGAGACCTTTCCAGGGAAACCTTTTAGTCTCAAAGTTTTGAAATCTTTGTTCTCTCTCTCCTGGTAGATGACTTGAAAAATATGAGAGGCTGTGTAACACAGGTTAGAGACCTCTCATTCATTCCCATCATCTCACCGGCATGCTGCTGCAATCTTTCTTGTCAGGAAAGATTTCTTCCTCATCTCAAATTAAAAAAAAAAAATCACTCTGTAAAAGAATATAAATTTTGTTATAGGAGACAGTAGAAGCTCTAATAGCTTCTACTCTATAGATCCTAACACAAAGGTGCCTCAAATTGATGCAGGGTCAAGTGTTGCTTTCAAAAGTCTCTTGGAAATATAACTCCAATGTAGTTGCTGCAGGATGTGTGGATGTCTGAGTCAGTTTTTAAGCCACGTTTTGCTAACAGATGAGCGGTGTGTGGTGGTGCAGGAATCAGAGTGTGGTTAGCCTGTGCCAAACACTGGGCTGCCCTGGGAGCTGGCTGCAGCACTGCTCACTAGCTGTAATTCTGCCAGCTGCAAGGCAATTTTAGCTTGCAGCGTGAGTAGTTGGAAGCATTGCTATGGGTGATTGAGGCATGCATGGGACTAAATTAACTGTGGAATGGCCCTTGCTGAACATGCTGTAGAGCTGGAAAAGTGGTGACACTCCCTGTTGTCATCTCCTCTCACCTCTTGAATTTCACAAATGCTTCTGGCAATCTTTTTTTTTTTTTTTTTTTTTTCTTCTTTGGAAGTCTTAAATACGTATTTCTGGTGTGTGTCTGTGTGTGTGGAAACATGGCTATTGGGCAGGTTCCTTCATCACAGATGTTTAAGAGATAATGTCCCGTGGACAGTAAAGTGCATTTGGGTAAGAGGAGATTGTCACCTTTCAAGAAGTGAGAGTTTATGGCAACTGTAAGATACAGTTACTTCAAGATAAGTGTGTTTTGGATGCAGTTCAGTGTTGTTTGCACTGTTTGCAGTAATGGGGAAGGAAAAGATGATGCCAGCTCCTCAAAGCTGGGTAGCTGGAACATGTTGAGTCTGCAGATGTACACAATAGTCAGTCTGCATGCATGCAAGGATGCAGAAGGAAAATGCAGCAATTCTCTATAGACCCTGTAAGACTATTCTAAAAAGAACAATCAAGTTTAAGCTGGGCTGCCTCAGCAAAGGAAATGTAGGGAGTTCTGGATGTTCTTCCCTTTCCTGATGTAAAAATAATCCTCTTTTCAGAAATAATGGCAAGGATCTGCTTGGCTTTAGCTCAGATAGCTGTTAGCAGGGTTAGAGAGCTGACCTTGCTCTGGCAAGGCTACTGAGAAAAAAGGAGCTGAAAGCAAGTTTGCTTTTACAGAAACCTTCTGGTTCAGAACTTAAACGCATGGCAGTGTAGAACACAGGGAAACTTGGATGTTGGGAAATGTCATCTGAGAAGCCAGAGGTGAGGAGATTATACTTCAAATGCATTTAGTTGAGAAATACATTTGGACTCTATGACTAACTTTTATGAATAAACTGAAGGGAAAAAAAAAATCAAGTAAACAGCAGTTTCCTTCATCTCATTGTGCCTAGTTTTTCCAGCATCCTTGAAGGAAATTAAGTAATAGAATACAGAAAACTGCACAATAATATATGCACAAGGAGGTACAAGGGGATGATACCTGGATACAAAATTAAGTTGTAGAAGTAATTTTAAAAATTAAGAAAACCCTGGTGTTCTCTGGATGAATAATTTCCCAATTTCTCCATCCTCCCTACTCTTCATTAAAGTTACTCTTCAGCTATACCAAGCAGAGACTAAATTACATCAGTCATCAGCACTCTTTTATAGAACAAAAGTGAATTTGGAGTGAAACTTTGGTAAAGTGCAGTAACTGAAAATAAAATACTTGAAATGGATCCTTGGAAATGACAGTGAGTCTTGTGGTTTCATTCACTGCAGGTATTCTCTCTCAGGACGCTACTGAGTGCTCTTAATGTTACAGTGCTCAGTAGGTGGGCTGGATGACTGGGTGGCTTGAATAATTCTGCTTTCCAGGGGTAGATTGCTATATTCTTGCAGGTTTTGCTGTTAGGTCATTATACCTTTGTAGATCTGTGAAAATGACGTTTTACTATTCTTGAAGTCTTGCTTGCACATTGGCCTCTCTGCTAACAAAGCAAGTCTATCACTGAAAGGGCACAGTTGAGCCACCTCCACTTAACACTAAGAGTAAAGGGTCCAGAGGATGTGATAAAGAAAATTATATTTGGGCAACATTTGTTGGAGTTTAAGCACAAGGCTAGAAACATGGGTTCAAGGCATTCCCTCCCAGACATACCTGCAAGGAGATGGATACTCTGAAGGAGTGGTTGAACTGAAGTAGTATCTGTTGCCAGAGGTGCTGTTATGTTGTAACTAGAAAAGTTGTAGTGAATTGAGCTTTTCTGCTGTGCATGAGGGAATTTTTTTCTTCTGTGGTTGCTTTAAAAGCAAAACCAGAAAGTGGTAACCCACAGATGAGTGATTAAGAAAAGACAGCTTTAAGACAGTTGCCTCTGAGCTGTTAGGGAATCTTAACTGAAGCTAGAGTGTAGTCATATCCCTTGTAAGAAGTTACATAATTTAACATGCACAAATTCAAAGCAAGTATTCCATGCATGGAAATTGTTTAGCTTGGAGTCATTGAGCTCGCTATGTGTATGTATTGTTGTTAAACGGTTTGTGCTGGGGAGGCAGTTGTTTTGAGCAATCTGCATTCCTAGGAACTGATCAGCACATGAAAACCTCTGCAGTTTAAGATCTGTACATTTATTTTAGCCCTTCTAGAATAGATTATATTTTCTCCAACTTGTGATTTTTCTTTTGTAACTTTCTTTACCCCTCCTCCCTTACTCAGCAGGCATCTTGAAACAGATAATGACTAAGGGATACACACTTTCTTCTTTTAGTCTTACTGGATACCTCCTTGAAGACGATGTCCTAGCACAACAATTTATTTTATTCTGTCACAGATGACTTTAGCAATTAGCATCGGGAAGAACTGATGGAAGAGTCTGGTGGTTGAAATCAGAGTTCAGAAAAAAAGAAAATGCAGAGACAGTAGAGGCAAAGGCAGCTGAGAGAACAACCAAATCTCGAATTAGCTACAGCCATAAAATAGATTCCCCTTAGTGATGCTGAAGGTGGCTGTAGTTTTATTTAAGTACATGTGAGCAAGATGGTGAACATGAAGAGAAAAATACCCAAACAGAAAAAGCAAAACCAAAAACCCTATCATCAAAACCTACGTCTCCAGCAATAAATCCAATTAAAACCCCAAGCCAGTGTGAGTTCTGGTATGCCTCTGCTATACGTCATAGGTGGTATGGATGTTTCAGGCCAGGGCTGAGCAGTAGCGGGTGCCCACTTTGCCATGCTGATCTGAGCTCCTCACCCAGGCCAGGAGCAGTAGAACCCTGGGAAGTATGGTGGGGAGCTGCAATTAGTAACTCCCCATCAGCACAGGGAATTCATGCTGGTGCCATGCTACATGAAGACAGCAGCACTTCTCCAGACCCTGTTAGCACCAGCACATCTGCATCGTGCCTTGCAGTGCAGTTGTGTCTGAAGTTGCTGAGGTGCCATTCTAAGACATATGGGCAGATGTGAACTGAAATCAATGACTGGAAGTCTCTGAGGCTCAGGATGCTTTGAAAAAAATCTGACTTCAGGTATATTTGCAGTGTACATACATCCCCCAGGCCTCTGAAAATAGTCAGTGTTCAGTGAGATATTTCACTGAGTATATATTCATGTTCAGTGTGTGTGCCTTAATGGACTGCAGCAGAAAATTATCTCATTGTTCAGAGGATATTTTTCCTCTCCTCCCTCCTTTCTCTCACCTGTTGAAACAAATCTCTGTCCACTGACATGTGCCTGCAGGGTCCTGTCGCCTGGACTGGACTGCCACCTTCTGTGTATGTTTAGGAATGCTCAGCTTCCATAGGGGCAGTTGGCTCTATAGGCTCCTCAAGGCTCCTCATCCTGAGTGGGAGGGAAGGCTGTAACACAGTTCAGAAAAGGAATGTAACTAGGAGTGTGAGAGACAAACTAGCTCAACTTTTTCAAGAATCTTTAGTGCTAATCATAGAATAATTTGAGTTGGAAGGGACCTTAAAGATCACCTAGTCCCAACCCCCCTGCCATGGGCAGGGACACCTCCCGCTATATCAGGTTGCTCCAAGCCCTGTCCAACCTGGCCTTGAACTCTGCCAGGGAGAGGGCAGCCACAGCTTCTCTGGGCAACCTGTGCCAGTGACTCACTTCCCTCATAATGAATAATTTCTTCCTTATATCTAACCTCAATCTACCCTCTTTCAGTTTAAAACTATTGCCCCTTGTCCTGTCACTACAGGTGCTGGTAAAAGTCTCTTTCCATCTTTCTTATGTGTGCTTTAAGTGTTGAAAAGGTGCAATAAGGTGTCTTCAGAGTCTTCTCTTTTCTATGCTGAATAATACCAACTTTCTCAGCCTTTATTTAGAGGAACAGTGTTCCAGCACTAACTGTTTTTGTGGTTGTGCTCTGGACCTGCTCCACCAGGTTCGTGTCTGTCATGTGCTAGCAGGAAGCTGTAGGTGCCATCTACAATGATAAGGTGGGAAAAAGCCAACAAGCCCACTGAAGAGTCGACTGCATTGTTGTGTGTGTGTGTGTGTGTTGTTTTTCTTTTTAAATATATATTTTATATATATTTATATATTGTATGATCAAGTTAAAACAATAGCAAGTTTTTTTATTTCATGAGAATTGAAATCTATAGCTGTGTGGTTTCAGTGCTCACTACGGATTCAGTTTTAGTCAACTGGTGAAATTTTTCTGTCAATTTAGTCTTTAAAAAGGCAAAACTGACACAAGCTGGCTCTTGATGGGCCTGAGTTGCAAATTCATGCAAACATACAAGAAACTTGGCTTCATGATATCAGTCGCTTTGTGTTTTTCCAAGGTGTGGCTCTTCTACTTACCTCTCTCCCTGCATTACCTTGGTGGGTACAGTTCCTTCTGAAGAAGGGACAAGCTATCAAGAGTAAAAGTACTTGGGGGTGTTGGTTGATGAGAAGCTCAATGTGAGCCAGCAACATGCATTTGCAAACCAGAAAGCCATCTGTACCCTGGGCTGCATCAAGAGCGGTGTGGCCAGCAGGTCGAGGGAGGGGATTCTCCCCCTCTGCTCTGGTGAGACCCCACCTGCAGTGCTGTGTCCAGCTCTGGGGCCCCCAGCATAAGAAGGGCATGGACCTGATTGAGCAGGTCCAGAGGAGGCCACGAACATGATCAGGAGGCTGAAGCACCTCCCTTGTGAGGGCAGGCTGAGAGAGTTGGGGTTGTTCAGCCTGGAGAAGAGAAGGCTCTGGGGAGACCTGACAGCGGCCTTCCAGTACTTAAAGGGGGCCTGCAGGAAAGATGGGGAGAGACTTGTTATTAGGGACTATAGTGGTAGTAGGATGAGGGGTAGCAGTTTTAAGCTGAAAGAAGGTAGATTTAGGTTAGACATAAGGAAGACATTCTTTACTGTGAGGGAGGTGAGACACTGGCACAGGTTGCCCAGAGAAGCTGTGGCTGCCCCCTCCCTGGCAGTGTTCAAGGCCAGGTTGGACGGGGCTTGGAGCAACCTGGTCTGATGGAAGGTGTCCCTGCCCATGGCAGGGAGTTGAAGATAGATGATCTTTAAGGTCCCTTTCAACCCAAATCAGTCTATGATTCTGTGAAAAGCCTTGCTGTAGGGCCTGGTATGTACATCTGTGGCTGTATGTGTGGTTTTTTTATTCATCTAATATAAAACTTTCATCAAAACGCAAATGCAGCAACTTCATCTGAAACCCACTTGAGCAACATTACCTTTTTCAAAGTCCACAAACACTTGTAACATAAACCCTGGTGACTGACAACTTGGACAAATTCTCCTATGCAGTTGCTTACCCTCTTTCTTTTTACTCTTGCACTTGAGTTCTTCACTAGCTGTAACCTGAGACCTTGTGTTCTGTGTGACACTGATGTGATTGTGTGCTGCTCGGCACAATGGGACTCCTCTACCTTCCTTGTATGGGGGTGTTTTAGCTGCTATTACACACTGTCAGTTTGTAAACAATAACCATAAGAACCTGAGAAGTTACATAGGGTTTAATTTTTGGTGTGACTAATATGGTGAATGTTTTTTCTGAGCCTTTTCTCTTACTCAGCTGACAATTTGAGGCAATAAGTGTGATTATTTTCAGCCTAGTGTTCATTCTCTGAAATTCATTCAACTGAAACTTCCTGTTCAGTCACTTCTGCCGGTGTGTCGGTTTAATGACTAAAGAAAAGCAAAAAGATAAAAAGCAGAAATAAAGACAAAACTGTACTCGGTGAATAAATTAATTGGAGATTCCTTTTGGGGTGCCAGGTAAAAGCTGCCTTTTGTTTTACTGGTAGCCTTAGCCTCACTTCTCATTTTGCAGTCTAAGTGCACCCTAGCTGGCAGTCAGCAAAGGCAAGTGGAATTAGAGTCAAAACGTTTTAACTGGGAAACCCCTGACTGTATTTTTTCCTCTCCAGCAAGCTGCAACTTATAACAAAGGAAAAACATCCAACCCAGATTGTTTCTTTTTCACTTTTCCAGTGTCCACATCATCCGAAGCAGCTGTAAAAGACCCTATCCAAAAAGCCGTAGCCCAGATACTGCAGTTTTAGCACTTTCTAGTATAAGACAGAAAAGTCGATCTCTTACCTCTATGGGATCTCTCGGTATACTGTCTGAATATGCTGAAATTCAGATGCACTGCTGCGAGGAGCCTCTGCCTTGGATGAGGAAGTGCTGAAGCAGGGCAGGATGTGGAGCAGTGACTCATATCAAGGGCTGTGTTTCTTAACTAGCTGAAAAATAAGAGGAATTATTGATGGCAGTCACTGTAGTGTTCTCAGATGATGTAAGGACTTGCTGGTTACCAATTTACCAATAGTAAAAGTTCAGGAACATTCAATATTTCACTTTTCATCTTTTCCAAAACTTTAGCTGCTTATGATAATGTAATGTTCTGGTGTTGCAGTCCTTTCTAGGAGGACTATCTACCTTTTGTCCAAAAAAATATACATCCCTATCGAGAAGCATTTCTTTGTACAAATGTGATGCTTGAAGATGTTTAGAATAAGGATTTTGGTAATGCTTCTGCAACAGCTCTTGCCTCTTAGCTCAAACAGGCACTTTAGAGACTTTACTTGATTCTTTCCATTAGGAAAGGGAAATGATTTTTAAAAAGCACAAAACCACTATGTTTCTCCTTACATGAACACCAGTTAAAACTAATTGTATTTAGGGTCCCATACACCTGAACACAGAGGCTATCAATTGCAGTTTCTAAGCATGACTTTCCACACTGCATTGTCAAAAAAGCTCTGTCTCTTAATTTGCTCTGCCATCAATCATTGTTGTTTCACTGGCTTTCCACTTTTGATGTGCAGATACTGAGCAATTTTTTCAGCCAGCCATAGTAGAAGCCTTTCTCTTTTTTGTTGAGTTCTTACTTGCATCTTGATTTAAAATAATTAGTATTCCAAACGTTGTTCCCATTCATCTCAACTCCTTTTCTTCTTGGGTTAAGCAGGGAGCTTATTTAATCCTGTTGAATGAAATAAAGCTATTTACTCATGCTGAATGAATATTTGTATTTAACACTCATATAAAAAAAAATTGCTTAAGCTTTAGAGTAAGTCTAAATTTTTTTTAGTATTAAGCCAGAAGTTAAAGAATTAAGGAAACCCTCTGAAATAATGTTTCATTATGTTAGGAAACAAACAAAACTCCCATACTCCACTGTTTTGAGAGGTAACACTTAATAAATTAGTCAGCTTCATGGTACTATTTCATCAATATGCAGTTTCTCACGTAAACAATGCTGTAATGAAACTGCTCATTCACTCCTGTGACAGTGATCCTGAGTATTCCCTGAGGTGATTCACTTTTGGAAAACTGAATGCCTGATGCAACTTGCAATAGATGAGTGGTAAAAGAATGCAGAGGAAAATACTCCTGAGTTCATAGAAGTTATTTTCTGTCTGGCAATGGAACACAAAAGTGAAAGACTTAGACTAAAATTCCTGATGAAGTACCAAAACCATCTGTGGCTGCACAATGTAATAAGAAATATGTGGGTTTTTTTCCCCTCATGCTCTTCTGAAAGCTCATTTCTTGATAGCATACTACTCAGAGAGCTCCCCTTGCATCAAAGCAGAAGTATTGTCCAAGTTAACACCACTGTTGGAATCTAAATCACAGATGCGATGTCCAACTCCAAGCAAGAGAAAACTGCTCCATAAGAATTTGAAGGTGTATTCTTAATGCTTCATATGTTAATTTCTTTTTCATGTGCTTGGAACAGGTCTCAAAGATACCGTGTAGCCCAGCCTAAATTTAAACCATCAGCTGAGGTATTCCTCAGTGTGTCCAGTGATTTGAATAGCTTTTTTAGTACATACCTTTAAAGTCCTATGTCACTAAATATTCTGTGTTTTGTCTTTGAGGTGCACTGGCATGGTGATTTCAGTACCATCTAGCAAAAATTCATGAGAACCGAAATGCTGCTGTACTCCAGCTTTGTGCCTAGGTATTCTCTGTGTCTTGCCTTCCATCCTTATTTTCACCTTATTGCTGTGCTCCCATCTTGCAGGAGGGGGTAGCAGATCTAGATTACTAATGCATTCTTCCAAAACTGCTCAATGTACAAAAGTACAGGAGTGACAGACATGGGTCTACTAATGGTCTGAAGTGAAGGTTGTGCATCTAGAGGGCATGGCCGTGCAGCTATTACTCAATTCAGTTTTCAGTGGTGAAGACAAATAATATTCTCATATGTGATGATGGCTCACCGGGATAAACTACACCAATACGTACAAGGTGTGTGGCTGTCTTTTTGGTTTGGGTTTTGATTTTATTTTTTTTTTTCCCCAAGCTCACAAATTGCTCATGTGACTGAAGTACTGTCACTGCTTAGCGTTCCACTGCACTCCACTGATTGTAGTTAAATATAAAATAAAATGAGGACCTGCAGCAGTGCAAAGCTGGCTTAAAATTGTTTATTTTGGCAGGCAAAAGTCTGAATGACTTCTTTCTTTCTACCTTTCCTGTTTTTTCAACTTAGGCCTGCTAAACTTAGCATGGGTTCAGTGTCCTGAAGGTGATTGCTGCTGTTATGGCTATACAATTTGTTCATGTTCTCTCAAAATCCAGCCATAACTTTCCCAGAATCACAGAATGGTTGAGGTTAGAAGGGACCTCTAGAGGTCATCTGGTCCAAACCCCCTGCTCAAGCAGGGCCACCCGCTTGATCTTCAGACAGCACATCCTGTGTGTGTATTTGTGCCCATTGCCTCTAGTCCTGCCACTGGTCACTACTGAAGAGAGCCTGGATCCATCCTCTTTGCACCCTCCCTTGAGGTATCTACATACATTGATGAGATCCCACCTGAGCTTTCTCTTCTCTAGGCTGAACAGTTCCAGGTGTCTCAATCTTTCATCACAAGAGAGATACTCCAGTCCTTTCATCATCTTAGCTGCATTTCGCTGGGCTTTCTCCACTAGATTTATATTTCTCCTGTACAGGGGAGCCCAGAACTGGACACAGCACTCCAGCTGTGGCCTCACCAGTGCGAAGTAGAGGGGATCACCTCCTTCCACCTGCTGGCAATACTTTGCTTAATGCAAAGTTCTCGTGGATTGAACAGAGAAAACAAATATGTTGAGACAAGATGCCAGGCTGACATTAAACACTTAGGCTGATTCATGTACTAAATATCATTGCCTGTTTGGTTGTTTTGCCCTTTTTTATTATTATTAAAATTTATTTTAAAATATTTATTATTATATAATATTTTTTAAAATCCTTATTGGTTTTCAGTCCCTGGGGTTGCTCACTTCAGTGTCTGGAGGTGTTCAAATGATCAGTAGGTTTTTCATGCTGCTTTTTTTTGTTGTATAACTGTGGGGGGTTTTTAAATTTTTTCCTCTCTCAACCCTCAATTTTCTGTGTTCTGCATATTTGCTAGAAGTCTTCCAACAGAAGCAAAATACAGTCTCCTTTTCCACAAAATACAGCAATCCACTTTAGGCAACTTCCTAGTGCTGTGCATAACAGTTGCCTACAAATCTGCTATTTCAAACACTGTGAATCAAATTCTGGACTGTCTTCACCACATATAGGTGAATGCATGGAAGAAGGCAGGGTTTATATAGTTTAATCTCCAGTATCTGAAATATAAAGTTGCCATAGTTGGGGCAAGGGACCTGTGTAATTTCCTTTGCTGCTGTGTTAGCATGTTGTAACCTTGTGATGTTCTTTTGGTTGTATTTTTCCCTCTGCTTGTGTTTATAGTGAGAATGGCTTCTGACCTTGCTGGCAGAGTACTCCAAAAAAGTTAGTCTAATGACTGCCTTTTAATTAATGATAACTGATATGTTAATAAATAATTGATGGTGTTACCTAGTGTTATCAATAAATTTGAATTTTTCTCTTCCCCCCCCCCCCCCCGTGGAAACAAATTTAAAAGTTTAATTGAACTGTTGAATATATTCAGTTGCCCTAGATAATCTTGGCAAGTTTAGAACATGCTCAAAAACCTTCATGGATTCCTGGTATTTAGCTCTTCTGAGTTGAGATTACAACTTTAATGAGCAAAAATCACTGTTATTTTGCATATGGCATTAGAAATAAGAAATAAGCAAATATAGAATAAAATTATCTCAGTAAAGTTTAATAATGTGAATATTTTTTTCCTTAGTGTGAATAATTTGAAATACTAACTTGAGGTTCTGAGTGTTCAGACTGATTAACTGCACGTACTTTACAGTGCAGAAAATAGAAAAATCATGAAATCTTAAAACTTCTTCCTTAGATAAATACATCCTTTAATCTTAAATGGAGCTGGCTGTTTGAGAGCTGTAAGCAGCAGACACCCCACCACCACCCCACCCCCAAAGGAAAGGCCTGGTTTTGACCTTGAAACAGCTTTCTTTGGGCTTTTGAGATGAAAAAAAGTTTTAAGTGCAGGTCAAAAATCTGGATTCAGTTCCTAACTCTGTTAGTGACTTCGTATGACTAGTTCAATTTTGTTTGAATAATTTAGAAATACAAATGTCTTGGATTTTGTCACACAGTTGTTAAGAAATTTCAGCGTATTCTCTTTTAGGATGCTATCAAAGTACAAATTGTTATTTAATCAATATTTGCTATTTTGAATAACTACATATGTACAGGTCAATAAATACCTGCTTCTGGAAACAGTGTTTCAG